CAATCAGAAACATTAGATTGTGATAAACTTTCTGGAACTCTGGATAGATAATCGACGTGCTGAATGGATTTAGCACCACGATGAATAATGTCATATGTATACGAACTGAGAGCGATGCTCCAACGTTGAACCATGGCTGCGGATGACTTAGCCAATGATTTCATAGGATGGTATATGAATTTCAAGGCTTCATGATCGGTCACAATCGTGAATGGTTTACCAAAAAGATACTTGTGTAGTCTACTTACACCCCAGTAGACAGCAAGAGCTTCACACTGTGTTTGAGAATAGCCCTGTTCGGCTTGTGTTAGTCGACGGGATGCACATGCCGCACGGAAAGACTGCCTCCGACACTAAAATCGGAGGCCAGGAGTGTGTTGCGGAGGCCGTTGACCGATTCCGTAGCCAAAAACAGCATAGACGTTTTACTTCCACCAAACTTCAGCGTGTACCATATCTATCCTTTGCTACGCCTTTAAAGTCAGGAAAAAACACAAAGAAACAATGTACCTCGGAAAATATTGCTTTTCCAACAAACCTTTTCCATGTTTGTCACTCTCGCCGAGTTTATTCGATATATTTCGTCGCCCCTGATATTAGCTGGCTTATCTCAGACATCTTTGACAACACAACCTCCATTGGACTATGAACTCAAACGGGAAAAAACAAGGTAGCTCTTACTTGAGTTTAAAAACAACAGTATTTTTTTCGATGTATTTTGTGACACCATTGCTTCACCAACTTTGGGAAGCACTGTTAATGAGACCCCAGTTTGGTTGTAGGCCACCGGATGATAACGGGTTGCTTATGCGAACTTTTGAATATTTTACACCCAAACATTTGTCAGTCCTTTCTTTTCGGCACGCAAGTTACACACCTCCGAGGCCTTTTATTTGGATTTATTGTATGTTACATGCGATTTAAAGCTTCACGCACGGTTGTGTTCTGGTTCGCATATCCTATCGTCTGATTTTTCCACGAAAATTAAAAGTACCTTTCTCGAAGTCGTTTGGCGTATGACAGATCCCAGTAATCCTGGTACAAATCATTGAATGCTTGAAATTTCTCAGTTTGTAGAGTGCTTCTGCCTTACATTTCACTAATTTGTGTCCAAAACCTCCACAAGCCTACCGCAGACTTACTGCCCCCGACGTCATTGTCCATTCAAAGCTACTGTGCGGCTTCATCAATTTTCTTCGATTGCCTTAACTAATGGTTAATTTATGATACTGGAATAAAAAATGTTCCTAGGTTAACCG